AAAATTATATGTAAATTGAAACATTTATTAACATTTCATTTTTAATGAAATCATTTTTTTATTGCAGTTTGATAGAAACCTGTTCAGTACCACAAACGGTTCTTGTTATTCTAGTTCTTGTCCAATATACAAAGTTTGATCAAAAACGTTTTGAAGATGAAGTTTTAAAGGGTTTATAAAAGAGATGTTGACCTCATTCTTGGTATCCTGAACCAAGAACTTGTTCGAGAGGTCTCATACACGTTCAATACATGATCTCTGATCGAGATTCTTTCAGAAAGGAAGATGTTAAATCATTTACAAAACAATCTATAAAAACAATCGCTGCTGAACAAGTTCATAATATGTCAGCATCATGATATAATAGTAATACAACAAAGGTTCCTATTTATGTTAAATTGTTCAACAACCTTGATAATTTCGAGTGTTGCACATTGAAGGTAAAATATTAAATATCATTCATGTGGATAATTATGATCAACATATTGACAGATAAATATTATATCAAGTTACGGTTCAAACTGTGTTCGGCAATAAGGGTAGATTACAGGAAAGACAACTTAAGTAAATCATTTTATTAAAATGTTTAAAAACTTATGGCCTGAACACATGCTGAATATGTTGATGCTCCATGACCTTGACATTGGGGAAATGACCTTATGTCATTGTCATCACACACTCTAGAATTTTTGACACCAATCTTATGAAGTTGGACACAGATGCAGAAGATCTATAATTATTGCCTGGATACAGTCTCTTGATATTGATGCCCCATGACCCTGACCTCGTGTGTAGGTCATGACACAACCTTGGATTGTGAGCAACAATCCTCAAAAATTGAATTGATGCAAAAATTTAAAAAATAAAACATTGTTAACAGTCTGAAGATGTTGATGCCCCATGACCTTGACCTTGGAATAAGTTCATGACACACTCTTGGGGAACAATCCTATAGGTTTGGTATGTCCAAGAAAGAATGACAAATGTATGAGTCAGGCATGCTATTGTGAACAGGTCATGATACATCTTGGTTATAGTCATCAATCCAATAAAGTTTCATAAAGATACAAGCAAGGTTACAAAGTCATGAGCCGTGTACAATATGTGTACGAATGAACAGCGCCAAACCATATTAAACCCCTGTATAACATGTGGATGAACGAAAAGTAACAGTCACCTTGACCCTGGCTCCCTGAAACAAGAACTCATTGGAGGGGTTCTCATACTAGAGCAACATATTATGTTATCAACATCCTTTCAAAAATGAAATCACTTAAGCATTAACAAATACTTTTATATATATAGTAACAATGACCTTGAGACCCTCAAAAATGAACTTGATTGAGGTACATATGTATTCTCATGAGTTGACCATTGATGAAGTTTCAAGGAAATTCGTGCAGGAATGAAGTTGCTAGAGTGATGAGAAATTATATAAATAGTAATAATAATGATGACTTTAACCTTGGCACCTTCAAACATGTTATTAAAGTATTTGAGGTATTCTCATACCTAGCCAATGTCTGGAATTTGATCAAGGTCCTTTAGAGGTGAACTTGCTAGAGCAATGACAAAATGTGACTTTACGTACGAATCACTCGAGTAGTCATACAAAACCAATGCTATATCCCCTCCACAACCTTTTTGCGAGGGAATAATAACTTCATCTACAGATGATAGAATTATAAGTCATCGGATATTAGTCAGAAAATTCAAATGTAACTTATATATTTAACTTAACTATTGCATAAAAAATACCAATTATCAGCACAAGTGATCATATTTATCAGAAATAGCATGCTGTGTTACAGAAATGTTTGATGAGCATACACAGTTCACATATCGTCTCGTCTCGTCTCATCGCCACGTCCGTACGTGGTAGCAACGATAGTTTATTACCGTTATCAACCTAAGCACGATATGTCATATTACGTTCCCGTTTGAAACATCAAAATAGAGGTTATACTTCATCACTCATGTGGTTTATAAGTATATATTTACTTCTTTCTTGTAGTTACAAAATATAAAAAGCTAGACCGTACAGACAGCGTTCACATGTGCTATCTCGAATCAGAGTCACGAAAACAAACACTCTTCAGACCTCAATCAGAGTTGCTAAAACGTTCAAACCCAGTGCACGAATTTCACAACCACAACACTCGTAGAATGCACCGGAGATAAACATTTTGATGCAGAAGAGTATCAAAAGACTTTATGTAACCCACGGGTGAGTGTCAGAGATTCTACTTTCTATTTACGATAACGAAACTATATAGCCCATATAGCGGAAACACGCAAGACTGAATTATCCGCACGCACCCCGAACGGAAGTGGGTCCGTCATTTTGCTCTCTGGACAGAATCAATAAGCCAATTGTTCTCGCCAAGAGCGGCTTACAAATACTGGAAGTTCATCAAGGAAACGTTAGAATTTATATCGCATTAAAAAACATGTACACTATGCAGTTTTGCTTAATGCACTTTTTATCTTGCTTAATGTGAATTTATACCAGAAAAAAAGTCATATATTTCACTCCTGACAAAGTCTGTTTAGTCATTTGTGATGCCAAAACTCCTAACAATTTTCCCCACTGCCGAAGCCTGAAGGAGACATCCTTATACCAGTTAACACTCCTTGCAAAAGAATTAAACTTCTTTTTTTGATCTAATTAAATTGAAAAAATACATGTTATTTTACCATCCAATAAATCTTAGACCACACAAAAAATGAGGATAAATTATATTAAAAATAAATGAGTTTAGACAATTAAAGATCAACAAATTGAACAATCTATAAAAAAAAATATGAAATATAAATATGTCTTGATAATATTTGAAATGATGAGGTTTACAAGTCTCTACAGGTGAACTGTGTAATCCGCTGTAAAAATTATACTCTAGACATGATGTTTAATCATCAAATGAAAAGCGATGGACATCCTTGATATCATTCTAATTTATCAACAATGTATCCAAGTTAACTGCTGTTCAGGTTTCATTCATCCACAGGACTTAACATTCATACTTGCCAACTTTTTGAAATTTCCATGGAGGAGATTACACATTCTCAGAATCAAAAGCATAAATAAAATGAGTGTATGTACACCATAGAGAATAAATTACACTTTTAAATTGCATCTTCTGAGCTGTTCTTTCAGATGAAGTCATCAGATCTTTGTAAATAGGAATAGCTTAGCAAATTCATTGGTTTAAAATGCTTAACTTTAGGGCCCAAAATCGAATCTCCCTCCTGAAATAGAGAAAGTTGGCAAGTATGAACATTATGTATGCAATACTTCATTAACATTTAAAACAACCTATAACACCACAATCATGATCGTTCATAAAACATCAGAGTTTTAATTCATCAACTCTGGTCTAAAACATGATACTCTCCATTCAGGTCTTTATAGTGTTTCTAAAGAAATAGACATCATTCGGATCTCCGAGAGGACACCCTGACCTATTTTACGGAACGTGGAGATCGGTAATTTTTGGACAGAAAACTTTTCAAAACTGATAAAATGTTTTCGTTTAAACAATTCATTGTGATATAACCTTTGCACATGATTGTTTTAAAAGATTTGTGTTAGTAATAATTGTACGTTTCATTGAGAAATCAATATCATTTTTGTTTACCAAACACATCAATAAGATAATCTAACAAACGGTTGTTTTCTGTCCCCCATAACCGCGCCATTTTCTTTGCCCCTTCCTTCGCTTTGTCTAAAACAGATTCCCCGTTATTGTCAAATATGGTTGTGATGTCATACTTACGTCCTGTAGATTCTAGGTATTGTTTTACATGAGTTTCACACTCAGTGAACACGTCTACATCTGAGAACTCTGACCAAGCTATGTAATGTAGACAATGACGGCCGTCTTTACTTACAGCTGTAGTTAGTGCTGGGTTCGACTGACATAAATATAAACAAACCTCCCTGTTTCCCCCCTCACAACTCTTATGTAACACCGTTTTCCCGTCATTATCTACAGCTGTAGTTAGTGCTGGGTACGACTGACATAAATATAAACAAACCTCCCTGTTTCCCCAAATCCACATTCTCCCATCCATATCCACTAACTGAGCCATGTACTGAGCACACACACAGTTCCTATGAACTACACGACCATCGACTGACTCACATTTATGTTGTTGGTCCTCAACTCTATATAAGGAGTTAAGTACAGACCTCTCCAGTATCTGAAATATAGAACAGTTTCCTGTTCCTACCACATAATGGAGCGGGGTTCGTCCTAACATATCAGTGTAATGTACCAAGTGTGGGTAAGTGTCACATAACAACGTCACCATCTCTTCTTTCTTACACTCACACGCCATATGTAGGACATTGTTATTGTTATACTTATCCCTCGCTGTAGGAGTGACGTCATACTCCAGTAGTTTACGTAACACTTTCACACGCCTTCCCTTCACCACACTAAACGGTGTCTCCTTGTCAGGTTCTACTCCCTCACACAGAAGATATAAAGCACATTCTTCTGCACCATGATAACATACTTCATTCAACACATCAACCTTTGTCTCATCATTCAAGTATACAACAATTTTCTTAAGTAAACACAATTGTCTGTTACTATCCCTCCGATGTCTGTTAATCAATGACCCCCATGCTGTTTCCTTGTCAGGTTTTACACCTTCTGACAGAAGATATATAACACATTCTTCTGCACCAGAATAACATGCTTTATTCAACACAGCAACTTTTGTCTCGTCATTCAAGTATACAAAAATTTTCTTAAGAAAACACTCTTTGTTACTATCATTCCAATGTCTATAAAACAATGACAATTCTGTGGCCTTGTCAGGTTTTACACCTTCTGACAGAAGATATAAAGCACATTCGTCTGCATTATAATAACATGCTTCATTCAACATAGCAACTTTTGTCTCATCACTGAAGTATACAACAATTCTCTTAAGTAAACACACTTGTCTGTTCCTATCATTTCGATGTCTGTTAAACAATGACCACAATTCTGTGTCCTTGTCAGGTTTAACACCTTCTGACAGAAGATATAAAGCACATTCTTCTGCACCAGAATAACATGCTTTATTCAACACATCAAGTTTATCAATTTTTCTGTCATCCAACAACCCGACAAAGCTTATAAGAAATACAGGATCATTCCATACATCTAGAGAGCCAATACAAATATCATCATCATACTCCTCCTCATCATTCCATACATCTAGAGAGTCAATACTAGTACCATATCGACTCTCCTTACAATCAAACTCTCGGAGTAGACGCTCACACATTTCTGTATAATGATCAGATGATATGACAATCATGTTTGTAGCTGTCTCTGAGGTTGTTAAATAACTGAGGGATTTCCTGGGACAATTCTGTATGTAGCCAATTGGTGTGACTTTTCCATACAAAAGTGCCACAGCAACATAAATAGAATCGTGATTAAATCTGTACACATCCTCAACAGACCAATGTTTCTCCTTCACTACTACCACATCTTTATCAAACGACAAATGTTTCTCCTTCTTTACCAAAAATCCTAATAATTCATCGAAACAGTCCTTTATAAATCACATTTTTCCAATTTTATCAAAAAACGAAGTGGCTGTGTGATATTTATATTTGTTACCATCAATCAACTTTATTGAAAATGCTTGTTCCAGCAATGTTTCATGGACTTTTTTACTGTTTGGATCAAGATCGTTTACCCGTATCATACCATTATTGAGGAAGAGATACAAAAGAGCAGAACATTCTTTTAATCGTGACAATGCTTCATTCAAGAAATGAAAAGGATTTTCAAAAAAATTAACTCGTTCTTTCTGCAATTCTTCAGAATTGTAGAACAGCTGGCAACATTGTGGGAATCCAATGTTTGGTGCATAAGTTGAAATTTGTGTTTTTTCTTCGTCTGTCCATGAAAAGTTTTTTGGCTTATACAGCTCTAAAAGTTCTTTTTTTTCTTCTGCAATTTTGTATGTTTGTGAACTCAGATCAATAATGTTATCTTTGGTTAAAATTATTCCAAGAGAACGTTTTTTCAAAGAATTGTATATTTCATTGCGAACAGTAATGATGAGAAAATTGGTCTGGGCTTGTTTATCTACAAAAAGTGTTTCTACATTTGAGATTCTTTTGTTCCACTCTTGTACATCCGTTATACTCACATCTTTCTCACCAAAAATATCATCAATAAAAGTGATCAATTTCAAGTTTGGAGCCAATAAATCTAGTTTCTTAATCTCGTTAAGTTGTAGGGGTTTACCGGCTCCTTGCTCCTGACTCAGCCAACGAAGGAGTTGAACAGCGATTGCTGTTTTACCGTCTCCTGTGTTTCCCTTGATGACAACAACCCTGTTCTTTTGAAGCTTGACTTTAGCATCACGGAAACCTTTGTTGGGGTAAAACAAATTCTCTTTTTCTTTGTTAATTCTTGCTTCAGCTGTTTCTGTATGAAGAATAGAAAATATAGGATGAGAGGTCTTGTGTGGAATGGATATTTTAAAATGATACCGATATCACTGTAATCTAGAAGTGAAAGATTTGCTTCAATTTTTACTGAAGAATACAGAATACTCTAGTGAATCATTCTAAAGGAATTAGAGATGAATGGGCAAATTAATGGCTGTATCACAAAATAAATCAACTGATCTTTTACCAATCATAGAAAAAATGTCAAACCGAGTAAGATAACACAAAAAATGACAATAACTAACATTATACAAGGCTCAAATAACCATTCAGCTAAAATGACAAACTGATGTTTTAAGCTCAGACTAGAATTCTTGTCATGGCAGGAGGTTTTCCAGTAACTTTTAAATTTTTTAATTAAAAGAGTGTTGATAAAAAGTTTTGATAATCAACAAAACTGGGAGACTAAATCTAACGTAATATTACGTAAAAACTGCAGTCTCCAACCTTGCAAAATCACAGTGAATCATGAGGTCACAAAAACATTTTAGTATGACATTACAAAACATGTTATTTTGAGCAGTCAAATAGAACTAATCAATGGAAATGCTTTCAACTTTACATTGTGCTATGTTCCAATAATATGCTTCTGCTATAAATCGACCGAGGTTCTCTGGTTTACTGGTTTGGCATGCTACTGAATAAGCTAAAGATCCAAAAATTGCCCGAACAGTAGAGGGTCAGACTAGTAAGCCAGTGGTCCGGAGTTCAATCCCTAGTGAAAACATTGCATTGAAAAATTACCTTTAATACAATTCAATGCCTCATGAATGAAGAAACTTAGTCATTACAGAACAAGAGGCCCTATAGCATTGAATCGCTCACCCAGCTATTTGGGAAATCAGTAGGTTGGATCCAAAGCCCCAAGAAAAACAGTCCCTTAACTTTGTATTATGTTTTACCCCAACGGTCTACAGACGATATCACAACATTTTGGTTAAAACATTCCAGGAGAAGAGATGTCATTTAAAGAAAATCTTCAAATTTGACCCTTTTGATCCCAACCATCATCCCCCCCAGGTGTCAGCACCATTTTTTGTATAAGTGTTTATCCCAACTAGAACACTGACAGGTCAGTAAGGGCCCCGTCTTGTGGTAATATATCCCCCATAATCATCAAGAAGCAATCTGCCCATATAGCTGAGCTTGACGCTTGACATTTGGACTTCAAAAAGAATCGCAAGGAAGCAAAATAGACATTTTACATGTACTGTGATGTGAGTCTTGTTTCCTTCCACCGCCATATTTGTTGGGCTAAAAGAAATGTAAATACCGGTGCAATACTCATTTGTTAGCCTTGATTTGTTTTATTTCATCTTAAATACCTCATCCATCAAGAGCCAGGATCAAAGTCAGAGATCCACTTTGTCTTTGACCTTTGGACTCAAATGGCCTTGACCTTAAAACTAGTGACCATGATCTTTGGCCAGTTGACTTATTCTTAATTCCGACCAACTTTTCTTCATTATATCACAAAATGTTCATCAGTGAAAATACAAAACTTGACCTTGACCTTGAACCTTTGGACCCCGTAACGACTTCTTTTTTAATTCCGACCAACATTGCTTCAACGTGTCATAACAAAATGTTCACCAGTGAAAAGATACTATTTGACTTTGACCTTTGACCTTGACCTTAAGTCAGTAGACTTTTTCTTAAATTCCAACCAACTTTGCTTCATAATGTTATAACAAATTGGTCATCAGTGAAAATATACAAAATTTAATCTTGACCTTCGACCCAATGACCTTGACCTTTAATCAGTTGATTCCTTGTTCAACTCTGACCAATATTGCTTCATAGTGTCATAACAAAATGTTCATCAGTGAAAATACACCAAAGTTTACCTTGAAATTTGACCCAGTGATCCTTTGGTCAGTTGACTCTTTGTTGTATCCCGACCAACTTTGCTTCATAATGTCATAAAATGTTCATTAGTGAAAAGCTATAAATTTGACCTTGACATTTGACTTTGACATTTGACCTTGACCACTGACCCGATGACCTTCACCTTTCGTCAATTGACTTTTGTATAATTCTGATCAACTTTGCTTCATCATGTCATAACAAAGTGTTCATCAGTGAAAATATGCAAAATTTGACCTTGACCTCTTACCCGATGGCCTTGACCTTTGATCAGTTGACTCCTCGTTTAGTTCTGATCAACTTTGCTTCATCATGTCATAATAAAAATGTTCATCAGTGAAAAGATGCAAAATTTGACCTGACCTTTGAACGTAATGACCTTGACCTTTGACCTTTTTACCTCATTGTGTATTTTTGTGAATTGAACATCTTGACCAAGTTTCATGTTAATCGGTCAATAAATACTTAAGTTATCAGCTAGGAACAAAATATGTGGACGGACAGACGGACAACCCGATTACTATATATAGGGCACCCGCTTCCTCGATGCGGGGCCCTAATGAAATTAAGTATGCTACCACTACAAGTTTGTTGATATCTACTCAGTAGTTAAGGAGATGGCAATTTAATCTCTTTAGATCAAGCCTTTTAGCTTGCTGCTTATTATGCAGGTAGGGGTCCATCCCTTTCATTTTGAAATGTTTTGATCCCTTTGACCTAAGGAATTGCTAAAATATTATGTAAATCTGCTCAACAGTTTGGGATATGTCATTTCAAGAAAAAGTGGATGGATAACAGAGACGACAACAGATGAAGCACCACAACATAAGTTCACCCTAGTACTATGTACTATATGAGCTTATAAATCCAATCTGATTTAAAACAGAACTTCCATTCTGTTCCTCTACAAAGTCTATGGTGTGGGATCTGATGTCACAACATCATGGGTCATGATCTTGTGACCTTTGATTCAATACCGAAGTCATATTTATTTAATACATGTATTTGAAATATAGAAACTGTTTGGAAGAGCATTTCAATAATTGGCTGCAATAACATTCACCGGAACATTACCTGTTATGTACATGTACCTATTGTATAGATCAGATACCATAGCGTATATGAACAGAGAAAGCATAAACTTAATCAGATTGGGAATACATTTTGGATATTACGACTTCTCTTTTGGCAAACCAGGATTCTCGTCAAATAGAACTATACAAGTTCTTTCATATATCTTTAGATGATACATGTTGTTCTGGTTCAAGTTTTGAGGAAATCTGCTGCGGTTCTTCTCTAACCATGTCCAATCCAGTAGATAAGACTCACCTATCATTGGTTTTAAGTCAGGATGGATTTCTGGAAAAATTGTTTATAAATGATACATTGAATATGTACAATAAAATTAACTTGTTTGAATTTAAAATCGAGAATTTACTGCAGATCGGTGTTTTTTTTCGTGTTTTTTTCCTTCAACAAAATCTTTGGCAAAATATTGAATCACAATAAAACACAATAGAAATGATTACGTAATTTGTATTCGTTGTAGACAGAACTAGTAAATTGTATGTACTTGTCTTCTGACTGATAGACACCTGAAATCAATAGTATGTCAAGGAAATAATAATGCAGCTTCTTTTCCTTGAAAGAGTGTGTGTTTGAATGTTTCATTGAACACAATTATTTGATATTCTGTAAAAAAGAAAATCTATTCAAGAAGAAAACAAGAGTACCGCGGGGCGGAACAATGTACGCCCGTCGAGTGCCATATAGTGTTATATACTTTCTTACATTGAAATAAGATCTGCATCATTCTAAGAGTGATTAGCTGACATGCTATAAAAATGTAGGAGAAAATCCCCGAAAAAATTTAAAATACTGAAATGAACAAAGGGCAATAACTTTTGCAAAAATCGTCGAATTAAAATGCTTTTAAGGGAGACACAACTTCATATTATGATTATAATATTTACCAAGTTTCAAAGAGATCCTTTGCAAAAATTTAGCAGGAAATTGCCGGACGAAAAGGATATACTGAAATAAACAAAGGGCAATAACTTTGCAAAAATTGTCGAATCAAAATTCTTTTCAAGGAAACACAACAAATTATCATAATTAGTTAGCCTACTTAGTTTCAACAACATTTCTCTAAAAATGAAGGAAGAGTTCTCCGGACAAAAAATGAAATACTGAAATGAACAAAGGGAGACACAACTTCATATCATGATTATAATGTATACCAAGTTTAAAAGAGATCGGTCGAAAAATGTAGGAGGAGATTGCCGGACAACGCCATACCATAATACTACCGTCAAATTTGACACGCGTATACAAAGGAGATATAATCCTATTATTCCCTTTTACAGTTACTTAACTATCGGCACCTACATCAGGGTATGGATTGGTTTGGTTAAGTATTGTTCATTTAAGGTTGGCCTCCCCTGTGTGCAAGATATATGCGTGTAGTGTATGGGTGTGTGTTTTGGGGGGTTGCGATATGTTCGTGTTTGTCTCCTTGTGGTAGAGCGGAACTGATGCAGACTTTATAGTGCTACCTCACTGAAACATACTGCCGAAAACACCCAGCAGGACACCCTTCCCGATAACATTATACTGACCAGGCGAACCAGTCGTCTCACTTCTAAATTGCTGAGCGTTAAACAGGAGTAGAAACTACCATTTTTACAGACTCTGGTATGTCTTGGCCAGGGGACAGAGCCCAAATTAAAGCCATCCACACAGGGAGCGAACGCTCAACTAAAGGCCAAAAGTGAAGCATCGTCAAGGGAGAAATTAGGAAGAAGAAAGTTGTTTAGAAAGAAAAGATAAGATCCCAAATTTAGTCGCCTCTTACGATCATGCAATGGGGGCAGCAGGTACAATTCTTATGCCCTACCTGCAGGGGATTATTGGACTAGATAACAACTGTTGATGTTACCTTTGACGTGACTGGTGTTCGCTGATATGACATTCACTGTGTCTTTAATGGCAGCGACATCATCTGGAAACATACAAACACATGTCAAATCAATCTCATTTCATTGTTAGTTGATGGAATTACAATCCAGCCAAAGTTCTTAAACAGATGACGTGATCATGAAGTTCAAAACACGGAGAATGATTTGATGTAGTTTGGTTTGGTTTGTTTGTGTTTTACGTCCTATTACGAGCTATGGTCATTTGAGGACAATCGCGGGCGCATTTTGTTACTCAACCAAGCCTTTATGTAAACCTAGTAACATTTAATCCGGGTTACTGCCGTATTGTGACTCTGTATATTCGGTAAGTGGAACAATTGGAATGTGGAATTTGAAGATTTCAAAGGATCATTTTATCAATTATAAACATCCTATTCTTAATCTTTCATCCTCTTCTGTTTCTTCTTTCAAGCTTTTTTCCTTTTCGACCCTTTACACAACAAGGCACGCCTTTATTTGGCTTTCTTATTATGAGAGGGGTTTTTTTCAAAAAGAAGGGCAAACGACGATAGAAATATGGTTGTAAATTATTTTTGAGCACATTTTGTGAAAAGCACTACAAATGCTATAATAAAAAAAAGAAGAAGATGAAATTGTGGGAATAATTGAGTTCCTGGTTGAGTTAGTTATCAAGTCCGGTGGCGAGGCTTTCCATCAGTAAGCTGACTATAGGCATTCCTATGGAAAGAAACTGTGCCCCTCCTCTGGCCAACTTGTTTGGTTTTCATACAAGGCTAGATTTATTGATGAGCAATCAGGACAGATTATTCTATTTTAAAATCATTTTATAAATATTGTCGCCAGTGGAAAAGAGTTAAAATCTCCTGCTACAATCCTTACATTAAATCATAACCACTCCATTCATATGTAATATCTTACATTCTGTATCTAGTATCATAAAACGCACAGGTACGCTCATCAATTGATTTTATTAAACTTTAAAACTGAAAAAAACAGTATATTTTTTCAGCAAATTGCTCAAGTGCGTACACAAGATATATATCCGAGCTACGCCCCTGAATGATGACCTTCTTTTTTACTTCTGAAGACTGAAACACAAACAACTACATGAGAATATGTCTGAACACACACACATGAAGTTTCTTGACAATACGATTTAGAAATGAAATTTATGAAGCTATGTAATTGTCGAGGACATGCTTTATACCACAACAACTCACTGGGAGAGTATTTTAAAAAAAGAAGAGGCCACGTGGGCCTGCATTGCTCACCTGGTATTAATGTCACAATTGTTACCTTAAAAGTGAACTAAAAAGGCAATATATCAGCGTCTTCTCTAAAAGTCATTCAGAAACCTGTTAAACAATGTATACTTATTTGACCCCTGTGACAATGAAAGTTGAACAAACTGTATAGCCCTTCATCCAAGAATGCAAATTTCCAAATATTACCACCCTAAACTATTTGTTTATTGTGAAGATGACTTTTAAATATTTATTTATTCATCCATATGAACAAACTGTCACTCTAGAAGTTTTTGTTATTCAGAAGGATTCATTTAACGATTTCAACCAATTTGCAATTTGACCCCTGTGACCTTGAACATGGGCGACGGTCATACATTAAAACAAATTTAGTAGCCTTTCCTTCCAGCATGCTTCTAACTTAATATCATCACCCTTGACCTTTTGGTTATTCAGAAGAAGTCGTTTAAATATATTACAGACAATTGACCCCTTTGACTTTAATATGGGCAAAGGTCATTTATTTGAACAAACTTGGTACCCCTTAATCCCCAAATGCTACTGACCAAATATCATCACATTTTGGTTATTTAGTAGAAGTCGTTTAAATGTTATAAAGACAATTGACCATTGTGACCTTGAAAACGGATGAAGGTCGTTCATTTGAACAATCTTGGTAGTCATTCCTCCCAGCATGCTACTGGCTAAATACCATCATCCTAGGCCTCTTGGTTATTGAAAAGTTGTTAAACCCTTTCACCACTGTAGACCATAATGGACTCATCCAGATCAATGCATGTGAAAGTCTACTAAAAGTGTATAGGGGTGAAAGGGTTTAAGTAAAAAGTTGACGCCGGACGGGCGACAGACGGATGGACGATGTACGCCGCACCATGGCATAAGCTCACTTGGCCATTCGGGCCAGGTGAGCTGACAATGTGTGTAACATTCAAAACAATTTTGGATTCATTTATCTTGATTATACCTTTTAAGTGATCCATATCTCTTGTTGTGGTTTCCTGTCTTGTTGTAATATTGTTTATGTTAGTTGCCATGACAGCCTGTCTAGCGGAAACCGCACTGACGTCTGTTGCCATGACTTCCTGTCTGTTTGTTATATCACTGATGTTTGTCGCCATGGCAGCCTGTCCGGAAGAAACATCACTGATGATTGTTGCCATGACTTCATGTCTAGCTGCAAGGGAAATACAAGTCAACACAAAACTTGGCCATTTGAAAGTCATTTAAAAAAACCTGTAAGAAGATTTTAACACCTTTGACCCATGTGACCTTGAAAGTCTGATGTGGTAATTCAGATGAACAAACTGAGGAGTCCTTCATTCCAGCATGGCATTTGCCATATATCAAATTTAGACAATATTATTTTGAATATTTTCTGAAACATTTCAGCCCTATGACAAAGAAAATGGGTCATGGTCAATTATTTTAAAGGTTTGCACATTTGACCTGTACCACATGTACAAATCCCTAGGGGTCAGACCCAANACTATCCCCGAAACCAAAAAAAGAAAGAGTTTTATCTATAAATTTCCATGATACCGAATCAAAAGCTTTTTCAAAGTCAATCATAAGAAGCATTCCAGACCCAAACTTGAGTAAATACCAAGTGTTATCGAAATCTGAATCTTGATAGAAGTTAAAATTATGCTTGTTTCAGGTTTTGCACTAAGAGGGTACTTATGACCAACTCGTCTAGAGGGTCAGCCTCTTCCTGAATATTAATTCTGATCCGCATCACCACAAAATTATTTTATGAAATTTTGGTGAAAATCCACTTATAAGTTAAAGAGGAGAAGAATTTTTCGGATTTTGCATTCTGTGGCTTTTACGACTCCACCGACACCCCTCAGTAACCTGGTGAGTCATCACCATCTCAATCATAGATTATGAAACCATCATGGGCTACTACCAAGTCGCATCAAAATCTGACAGACACTTTTTTAGAAAAAAAATGAAATTGAGATTGTTTAGGCTCGCCGCATGATGGTTGACAGAAATACTTGACGACGGATGAAAGGCAAATTGGTGACATGGACAGGCAGACTGTCAATGTATGCCATGACTTGGCATAAGCTTACTTGGTTCATCGGGACAGGTGAGCTAAAAATAAGGAATCATTATTCAGAATATAGTCTGGCAATACTAGGAGTGACAAAGGGATCACTATTTTGTATCTTAAATAAAATTTAAATCATCTTCCATACCTTATTCTTATTATTCACTATGTTTTCTTTTTTCAAATTTATGTGAACAGTATATACTTGTAACATAGTAATGTACCTTTTCTCCTATGTCCATAACAACACCACTAAAGTTGATGACGTCGTAATGTTCTATTGTTTACTATTGTTTATCTGCCCTTGGATAAAGCTCATTGTCTGTTACAATACAATATAAACGTGAACCACAAACAAAGTTCTTTAGGTGTTTAAAACATTGTAAAATTTGTCCTGAAGAAGCCTTAACTTCAGAGACGAAGCTGCTGCTGAAAATTAATTTTGTGCCACATAATTTATATACTGACCTTCGAAATCCTGTAAAATGGCCTTGACCTCCAAGTCTGCCTTGTGTTGTTTCTCTAGTTCCTCCATATAATATTTCTCTGACTCAGGGTCCATGTTCACAGTCAGTAGATAACAGCTGTTACGTATGTGTCTCCTGTCAAAGCATCCTTTTCTATTTCCAACACGCTCCGACGGATGAGGCTCCACCTACTTTTGAAGTCTGAACCAGACAGTGATGCAGTTGGCAGGTGTCCATAAGCTTCATTTCGCTGGACTCTTAACCGGTCAATATTAGCCGAAAGTGACCTGTCTGATGGGTCTTGTGTCTGCCCCCAACCAGTCTGGTGTGGTGGAATATTGATACTCTGGAGGTTAGTAGTTTATACAGAAGTGTAAAGTCCAAGTCTTCCAGGGTACCTAAGAACACTCCACCTGAAGGATAAAGACTCTGTCGTTGACGAGGTTCAAGATGTCTGCAAAGCTGTGATCTTTGACTTCCTAGAATGGCAGTAAGTCCAAGGGGTGGCACTTTAGCTTTGAGCACTGCCCTGAGCAGATCACATGTGACATCAACCAAAAGTCTACACAGTCTGGCAAAATTAGTGGTTTCACTGCTGGACAGATACTTGGAGGCCATCATTAAAGCTGTTGTAGATGATTTGGGGAGAGGTAGATGCTGAAAGAAAAAGAAAACATTAACTTCTACATTGATCTACAAGCCTAGTGTGAAACTCTACTGCCTGAATATATCACACTACCAACCATACTGTAGCCTAAATGCTAATCACCCACGTTAAGTAATTATTGGCATAGATATATATCCATTGCAACAGTAAGAAAACCATTTAACAAAGTCATTATTATGAATCTATATGTATTTTTTATAAAGGTTAATCACTACCTTTCATTTAAAAGACACTGAGATCAGTTAAATATTACGGAGATAAATAGAAGAACCTTTGGATAAGAAACGATCACATGACAGTCACATGACCGGTACTCGAGAGCTCTAATGTTCAAAACATTGTAAAATATCTTAAACTTTCAAGTAAAGTACTACCTGAAAATGGTTCACCAATTGCAATCAATAAATAAACTTGTAAAGTTATTAACAAAACAGTTCATAATACGCTATAACACGTTGAGTGAGCAGTTGTTTGTATCATTGAAAATATATGAAATATTTGTGAGTAATTGAAGGAAAAAAAATTCAATACAAGAGGCCCAATGGCCTTAGCGGTCACCTGATTTATATTATAGGTACCGATGCCTCAGTTTCATTGCTGAGATGTGATGTAGAAATAAACATGTAAACAAAGTAAATACAATACTTGTCATGTCACCAAATTAAAGGATAAGAACTTTAAAAACTATTCAGAAATACAATATCTATTGTTATTTAATCAATTTTCCTTTTTCGCCAACCCTTTGGATAGGTCAGGATCTTACTTTCTGATACTTCTTGCTTTCGATTTCATTATAACTGTAATAGGACGAGAAATATGGGATAAAAATAGTGCCCTCGCTGGCGCTCGAACCCGCAACCCTTGGCTCTCCAGCCCGATGCTCTACCGCTAGGCTAAAGGGAAATTCCCCATAGCTGACGCTTGTAGGTAACCTAATCAATGCACATCTTTTACACTATTCCCCCCTTTTTTCTAAAACCAATCCATGTTCTTTGACTCCCCGCCAAGGGTTCTTCCTACCCTGAACGGAGAGGGTCAACGGCACCAATTTGAAATAGGACGAGGAATAGTGATAAAGATAGTGCTGTCGCTGGGGCTCAAACCCGCAACCCTTGGCTCTCCAGCCCAATGCTTTACCGCTGAGCTGAATGGAAATTCCATACAGCTGACGCTTGAAAGGCAACCTAATCAATGCACATCTTTTACATAACTATACCAACCAGGTTTGAATTATTTCTTGTTGAAAATGGACAAGATATAATCAGAAGTTTTATTTCCCTACTGAAACGAAGGAGAACAGATGACCACGGAGTAATAAAACTAACAATTTATATACTGTATAGCGGTTATATTTCGTTTTATTTTAATTTCGCTATATTCGCGCTTTGACTAATATCCGCAAATTCTAAACATCAGCGAAATTATCGAAATTGTTAACCACTTAAACGGACCTTATCACAACATGTTGAAAATACTTATAACCCAACGCTGTTATGCAAGCTTAAAAGAACTCAAATAAGATTATCACCGGACAACTGGGTAGTCCATGTAAAAACAACACTTGCATAAAAATGGCCACATAATATCTATGTGTACAAGGTAAGTGATTAATTCATTACAGTTTACTCCTACAAAGGTACATACACATTTAATTTTCTTTCGAGTGAAGTCACTGGCAGATGACGGCACTCGGGATCAGTGTTTCCAAACGGTTTACCTGTATTTCAAGGTTTTAACCTTTAAATGATGATACTCAAAATACTTTGCACGACACATGGTATTCGGGTGCACAGCAAAATTTAACCTCCGGTAATATGTACTGAATACGAAACCAAGAAATATTGTCCCCGCTAATTTAACGAGCTATACAGAAATGCACCTAAGGGCATTTCCATCCATAAAAGAAACTTGAATCTTGTACATCTGAGTGCAGAGATTTTATAAATATCATCCATTTTCCCCTTTTTGGCCCCAGCACCTGGGGCAAGGACGGATCTTATTTTTTCATACCATCTAGTTGCCATCTCATCACAATTATTCCAACCAGGTTGGAATAATTTCTTGCCGAGGTAAGACAAAACATACCGAAAGTGTGTTTTACCTATACAAACTATAGTAAACTTTACCCTCTACCCAAGGGAGAGCAGATGACCTGGAGTATAATGAAACTATTAGTTTAACTAACGCACCTAAGGACCTTTCTATATCCATGATAAGTATTTGTTTGTAAAACATGAGTCTGATGAAGATTTTTTTTTAACTTTTAGCCATTTTCCCCATTTGGACCCTACCCTTCCAGCCCTTGGGGATGGGGCAGGATCTTATTTATCATTCCATCTAATTGTCATCTGGCATCATAATCATTCCAACCAAGTTGAATATTTTTCTGATGAAAATGGACAAAATATACCAGAAAGTGTTATTTTCCTATATAAATTATGTCAACTTTACCATCTCCCCAAGCGAGAATGGATGAAGCCTAGCTCTGCTGGAATTTTCATCCATTAACAGAATTTGATTGTAGTACATCTGAATCTGGAGAAGAAGAGTGATCATTTTTGAAATATTGGTTAATTTTCCCTTTGGGGCTCCATCCTAGCCTCTGCAGATGGGGCCGGAATCCCAATTTTACAAATTTATTCTCTCTTACACCAAAGATGATTCTGACCAAGTTTAAATAATTTCCTGCTAAAAATGAACAATTAAAATCTGCCACACTACTCCCCCCTTTTTCAATGTGTTCGCCCTCGAACACCACAACCCAGGTTTTAACTCCCTGTCCCCACAGGGAGGGTCAAGGACACCGTTTGTAATAGAAAAGAGAATAGTGTGCTTCCACCGGGGATCGAACCCTCGATCTCCAGGTTCCTAGTCGGACGCTCTACCACTGAGCTAAAGGGGAAAATCCCTCNCCCCCCTTTTTGAAATGTTTGAAGGTGGAGAAACTGTCTGCCCTTTTGGGCAAAACCACGGAAGGCCTGATGACGTCTTAAATGTTGCTGCGTGATGTCATTTATAAGCTTTTCAGTCAAACTTCTGTAGTGGTGCTCGTCGGCATTATGATACATGTGTTTTGGACGTATTATTAACTGAGACCCTTAATAATGTGACGAATTTGCCTGCACTAACGTTAGTTCATAAAACTTCAGAAAGCGTCCATAAGTAATTAGAATCATATGAAAAAATGACTTCACGTGAACGACTTATGGTATGTCATATTAAAACTTGTAGTTGACTACGAATATTATCTAATTTATCAACTTGATAAAACTGATATCTTTCACACTAGTACTGTGACCATTTTTTTTCTAGCAGAAAATGGTCGAATTTTGTTAAGTAGCCCAATCAAAAAAGGTGTAACCAAAGATTACGCTTTTACATCCCCAACTATATCCACGCATTTTCGTCGTCGTAGGTTGTTTTAACATGTAATTAGTAGAAAATGTAATGGTTTTCCATTATATACCATAGACATTTTACTCCTATGGCAGAAAATATCGATAATTTACTCGTGATTCGCAAATCCTGAAATATATCGGTATTCAGCAATACGCGTGAAATGAATATGGTTTTCATATCTTTGTTCATATTCGAAATGGTCGTCGAGCACACTATGGAAAAAACTGTTATCTACATAATCCACATTTTATATATTGTCCGTAAAGTAGTAAATGTCCAATCCTTGGATTAATTGGGATAAGGATCCCCCATCTTTCTCCTACCAGGATGTGGAAATTTCTTTCAGAACATGTGGCCTCATATTCCCCAATTTAAACCCTCCCGCACTGGACCTCTGTCCTTTGTTTTCAAAGCGCCTCAGATTTATAGTTCGAAAAGAAACAGTTCAGAGAGGAATATAACACCTGTATAGCCAAATAGGCCACATGTTTCTTTTTTTTTTTGGTGTCTGGAAAACAAAATTGATAGCTTCATAGCTTCAAATAATGTAAGTTCATGATAGTCATCTCAGAATTTTAAACAACACTTGTTACTCTGTGTCAGAAACATTTTTATTGATCTGCTGGAATTGAGAATTATCGGCGATGCCTCAAGAAATCGGAACACATGTACAAGGCGTATATCGTTGGTTTCAAATTAGTGGCTGTATGGAATAGAAAATAAAATCTTGCGAACTAATGAGCCCTTCCCATAGACATGCCGCACCACTGCACTGGAAAAGCTAGCTTGCCAGTAAGGTATTGTTTCTTCCTTATATTCCTTTGCAGTTACTATATTGGCCACTCCGAGAAGTCTCGTCCCGAGATTTGGCATTGGGAATCCTGAAGGTCCTTCCTATGTACCGAATTTTGCTAAACTATTGAGCGCGTCCTAGAGTCATACCGCATCACTGGAAAAGCTAGCTTGCCAGTAAGGCGGTATTTCACCCTCGTATTTTGTAGCTGTAATCGCAGTTAAAATAGTTAACTCGCCCAGCCGATGACACTGGTT